ATGATATTAATTCTGACAAAGAATCCACACCATCGGTTAATAGCTTTTTCAAACTTTTTTTCGAAGAAAATGATACTTTTAATAAAAGCTTTATTACTAATAAAGAGAAAAATTTAATGGAAGTTTTAATACCGATAATACATTTGAATATAAATTTTTTTTCTCAAAAAACTTATATGTAATATATGAAGCATGACATTTTATGCCGCCACATTGATAATAGGCGAAACCTATTGCCAAAAATGGCAAATAACGAAACCCCAAAAATGGAATATGAAACCCTGAATGAGCATTGAAACCCTGACGAAATGTTGAAACCCTAGCGAAACTATACTAGTGACCCGAAATCCGAAACCTTTCCGAACCTTCAAATTAGAATGTAAGTCTCAAAGTTTAAAATTAAATTTCTCAGCCTTTCAGTATAATGATAGAGTTTCGGAAAAGCTTTCGGGTTTCGGGATTTTATAAGTTCAGTTAGTTTGGGTTTCGGGAAACCGATGTAACTCCAACAAAGATATGCAAAGATATGCGAAACTTCGTAATAGTTAAACATGTGATTTTTAATTTTAATCAAGGGTAAACTTTTTTTTTACTTATCGATCTAATTATTGGCTATACCAAGCAAATACACTGGTTAAAAATGCGACTTCAATATTAATAAAGGTAATTTTTTTTGCTTATCGTTCTAATTGTGTTTTACATATGAGTGGAAAATGTATTTGGATGAGAGGCTAATTTAAATTTTCTTAAGATTACTAGTTTTAACAATCTTCAGTTTTATTGATTTTGCAATTTCTAGCTTCGACACATTTTGCCAGTTTCACCACATTCGCAGTTTCGTCATTTTATTTATTATTATTATTTTTTTAAAAAACATATTTTAGCAAAAATCGAAATTAGTGTTTCGAGTTCACCTGCACGAAGCCTCTAGGTTTTGTTTAATAACTATAACTGCCACGTCAAAATATTCAGGACACACAAATTAGAATGTTTGATTTTAGCTGCCCAAAAATAATTCTCGAAAAAGCACGCGTAATTATGTATAGAAAAAAATCTCAGATTAATTTTTTTTGTTAACGTTAAATATAAGTTTATGTAATATCTGATATAAAAATATTTATACAATGGACGTACGTACGCACATACAATTCCGTAAAAATCTTGATTTTTATTATAACCGTACGTACAATCCCGTAAAAAACAATATTGCAGATAGTACGTACAGTACAATTCTAGCAGTACATACAATCATGTAAAAATCTTTATTTTTGTCAAAATATTTTTAGTTACTGACCCATACACAATACATATTTGTTATATTTTATTATAACCGTAAATAACCTTTTGTAGAATTTCGTTAGGTTATATATTTATTTGCAGCTATGCTATTTTTATACATTACTTTACTCAATCATACATCACAACTATTCGTACCACCGAGTTGTTTTAGAGTTATCGTTCATTATTCAGAATTAAAAAAAAATCCAACCAACAGACCAGATTTTTGAAATCCATGTAATGCAAAACGATAACTAACTTTGTGTGGCCTAATAACCTTACTTCTCCAAGCTATTATTGATGATATCTTGGTTACCACTTCAGAACGAACATAATTTATAATTCTATGAGGTCGAAGCACAGTATTGCTATCTTTAACTAATGGCACAGTAAACTTTACAATGATGATCCATGTGCTTTGAATGCTTTCATAGAAGTTGGACAATTTGGACATTAAATTTTTTTCAACGCACTTATAAGCTAAGTTTGTGAAACACGGTTTGCAGGTAGGCATACTATAGGAAGTAGCCACCTTTGTGCTTATTAGCTGAAATAGTAAAGGGCATGAACTGGTTTCATTTGTAAAACTAATAGCCAACAGTTTATTGGTTCAAGATCGAATGAACATTTTCCATGTTAGTAAAGGTCATACCAATATATAATTTGATATCTGACATTGGTTCCATTCATTTCACCGACAATCAATTCACTGACAGTTAATAGTTCTATAGATAAATCGATAGAGCTATTAGAAAATTAATCAATAGCGTTATTGATTTAATGAGCGATTGGCATTTCGATAGCTATTCAATATTGATTAGAATCCAATTTGTACCTAATTGGTATCCGATTCCTGCCAAATATCTGTTTTATATAATGTCTATATCAGCATTAAATAATGCTGATATGAGCCCAATATTTCTTATTTCGACCTGTGAAATTTTTATGCCATCACTATTTTACTCAACAAGTCATTTCATCAACAGTAATGTTTCGGGCGAAACCTAAATATTTCGCCCATCCGAATCTAAAATATGGGCGATATTAGTTTCCCCAACAATTAAATTTCCGAAATTTCCGATGAAATCTGTAATCCCCAACATCCGAACTCAATCCAAATATTCGAAACTGTCTGAAACTGCATTAAACACGTGTATAAAATCTGACCAATAATATTCATAAGTATTGGATCAGTGGTGTTGTCGTATGCGGAGTTTATTTAATTTGCGAATGATTTTTTAATTTATGGGCTATACCTTACCTCACTTCAGAGGTTTTATTAGGTCAAAAATTTACGCTATTAATGGTTTGGCATCATAATGGTAGAAATGTTATCAGGATGAAAAACCATCTTGTGTTTATGGATTTGATAAAATTTTGATATTGGTCAAGCTGTAAATATTATGGAATTTCTTATGAATTTGTGTATAGTCAAGGTCTTTAATTTCTAAGGCTTCTTGAAAGTGTATTTACTGGTTCAGATGATTTCAAGTTCATTAATTAATATCCGAATTAATTAGATCATAATGTATTATAAAACTAGATCATTATATCTTGCAAGAACCAGTGTTGGACAATGATTTCGTATGACTCATATGACTTATATGAATTGTCATGTCACAATATCATATGATATGTCATATTATAATAATATGACATGATTTTATATTATATAGCATATGAATGATATGATTCTATATCATGCAAACATATCATATAACAATATGATATTGTCATTTGCCAACACTGGCAAGAACAGCTCACTAAAATATACTACTTTTCTACAATGCTCTTTTTTTCCTATAAGTATCTATCTTTATAAATAAAGTTGATCCAAGTGAGAATAATGACTCTATGCATTGATGATTGTCATGCTAAAGTTATTATCATATGGATCACCCTATTTGATCTGTGTAATTTGAAAAATGTTATTTAAAGATTAAATGAATTGTTGTAATTGGCAGTGCATTTTTTCTTTGCTGCTAGATCTGGCTCATTCGTATATGGTCTTGTCTAGCCCTACACAAAGAAATTGTTAAAAATTAGAGTAGCAAGAGACTTACACAGAGAGAGTGTGCTTAAAGAGTGAGAACTAGTAGTTATATAGATGTACATTCGAAATTCGCTAATATGAACTATGTAAATGAAATGTATAACTGTTATGTGTATATGTAGCAAATAGAATGCACTACACTATAGTGTGGGCCTATATTTGCTACTTCAAAGCAAGTAGAATACAAAAAGTTATACATTTGTATAGCAAGTAGAATATGCCACACCATAGTGTGAACCTGTTTTGCCACCATAAAAGAAAGTAAAATGCAAAGTTATGTGTATATACAGCAGGTAGAATGCATTGCACCACCACATAGGCCTGTACTTGCTATTTAAAAAGAAGAGAGAAAAAGCATTAGTAGACAGCCTACAAAAACGCCATACTACCTGCTTTGGAAATGTCTAATAATAATGAAAAAAAAGTTGAAACATAAATAAACAAATGAAATTTCCAAGAACTTGCTGTGGTCTTCTCTATGACTCTGATTGGTATAGCAAGTAAAATTTGCCATACTATAGTGTAGGCTTGTACTTGCTACTTTAAAGAAGAGAAAGCAACTTGTTTGTATCCATTATTAAGAATTTGCTAAAATGAGAATTCTAGTAGAATATATAACTTTGCAGACTGTTATTTTTACAAAATAGAAGTTAAAGAGATGAAAATAAAGCATTTATTCATAATTAAAATCTACTAAAATGGAAATGCAAAAGCAAAAAAAAAAAAAAAAAAAGAGAAAGAAATTAAACACCTAAAACAGTGAGAAGTAGATGCTGACTAAAATATTACTTTGAGCTAAAAAAGACTAATATAATTAAGAGTATGGAGATTCTCCAAACAAAAGGACACTTTGAGCATATTCAAATATTTTAAAAGAGAGATAGTTTTGTTAGAAACTCAAGAGTATCATTTATTTTAAAACTTATACTTTTGCTTCAGAGTTTCTATTAGAAAGATTAGCTAAACATTTTCATTTGAAACAAAGACTAATTGGCTTTACTTATATTTTCCAAATTGACAAATACCATCACTGTTTTTCCACTCTGAGTAATTTTAAAATAAAAATTGCCTATATATATGATGGCATTGTGAACCTGGAAAAGCTTTCAGTATTTATAGGTTGGTTAATTTATGTACTAGTAGCTAAACTAAATAAATACTACTGTAGTAATAAAGAGAAGATAATAAAAGTAAAATGCAAGAGCCATAGCATCTAATGATTCTGATGTATGGGTGAAAGTAAAATGTGTATAAGCTTATACATGTTACTTAAAAAAAGAACACCTTTTTATACTACTCATAGTGTAGCAAGTAAAATGCACAGCACTATAGTATGGGCTTGTGTTTGCTGTATTAAGGAAAGAAGAAAAAGTATTTCATTAGTTGTTATAGATAGATGTGGCTTGTTACAAAAATATATTTATATATACAGTCAACTCTGGATATAACAAACCTTCATATAATATATTTCAGATATAATAAACCTAAAACTTTAAAATTTCATAGTAGTTTGGTATAAAAAGTGCTATAGGTTCTTAATAAAACATAATAATTTTCTATAACAAACTTTTTTTCTTTCTTCCTGCACCATTAGTTTATTATAGGAAGAGTTGACTATATATCTTGTTTGTTGCTAGTTATTTACATAGCAAGTAGAATACATTACAGCATGGGCTCATACTTGTCACAAAGAAAAAAAAAGAGAAATTATGAATCCAGTAAATTTTTTTTTTTTTAAGGTCTCCTTTGGGACCAAGCTTTATTGATATTTAACTGTTGACCATATGGGTCTTACATTTAGTATTACAACGAGAGTACAACTAGTTACACATATAACTTTTGGTTGCTTATTTAAGTAGTCTGCCTGAAGGTTCTACACTAGATGCCATACCTATAATCCAACTAGGGGATTATCTATTTAAACCCTCTGATCGTACATACCTACTAATTATTCTAAGCTAGATATCTTTATACCGAAGTGCCCCTACTCACTTACCTGGACTTGGTTACTCTGTTGGTTTCCCTAGAGTCCCCACAGGTAGCGTAGTGGCTGCCCCTAATTTTTCTATATCTCACACATTTCTGAATTAGGTTCAGAGAACCTGTCTGCTATAGCCAAAACCAACACTAGTGGTCAGAGCTAACCATTAAACTACACAATTCTTGGTTCCTCTGCCCTTACAAGGTTTGTTTCAATCCCGATATCTACATCTACTTTTCTTTCAGTCCTTATACCGATCTCTCCCAAACTTCCAAATCAGTTAGCCCGGATAGGTTGGTATATCTAGACTTTAAGCGTTTGGTGGTTCCCTTCCTTTGGTTCCTAATTCTGTAGCATAGGACCTTTTTCTCTGGTGTGACTCCAGCGACCAGGTTGGTGAACCCTTCTTACCCTAGGGTTATTTGTCCGGTTTTTTGGTCTCCGGTTTCTGGGGTTCCAACTTCTGCAGTATCATCAAAGATCTTCACTACCTCCTTGCTTGGGTCTTTCCAAATAGGTTTCAATTATTCTAGTTCCTTGGCTTTGTCTATGTGATGTCACACAACTTCACCCAAAAGCTCCTATTCAAGATGGTACCAAGATTACAGGTGGTATACCCAACCGATCATTGAATAAATGTTACCAAAACAAATCTTATTTTTCAAAATCGTCATCAGTGAGATTTGAACTCTAGACCTGCCATTTGGAGGAGTGACAACTTACCAACTTCACTAAGTTGCCACACCCATAAATCTAGTAAATAAAAGTAAAGGAATTGATTAGAAATAAGTAGAAACCAGGCAAATTGTTTTTAGTGAGTTTTTTTGAAATTTTAAATTAAAATATCTCATCAACTATTAAACTAAACTTTATAAATTTTTTTATTTTAATTCTATAGCTATATAGAATTAAAATAAAAAAATTTTTATCAAGTTTGGTTTAATAGTTGTTGAAATATTGTAATTTAAAGTTGGAAAAAAATTTACTTAGAAACAATTTGCCTGGTTTTTACTGATACCCCCTATATATTGATAGATCAAACTAAATAAAGGTAAAACAAGAAGAAGAGAGGAAACAGAAATGGCAGAAGGAAGAGCTAAAAAAGTAGAAGAAGCTGAAGAAGCTAATGAAGAGAAAGGAGTTGAAAAAGCCAGAAAAGCTTGAGAAGCTGACAAAGTAGACAAACTTGATAAAGCAGAAGAAGCAAAAGAAGCTGACAAAGCAGAAGAAATAGAAGAAGCTAATAAAGCAAGAAGAAGCAGTAGATATAAAAAAGTAGAAAAAGTAGAAGGAGTGGTGGAAGCAAAATGAGTGGAAAATATGTGTGAGGTCTTTTGTTAGGTTTAGAAATATACTATCATAGTGTACCAAGTACATGCTCAAGATTCAATCCTCTTTTGTCTTTATTATATGACCAGCATATGATATCTAATTAGCTTTTATATTTGAAAGTGTATATATTGATGCCAAGAACAGCAGCATAGCACTACTCTATATGTATTTTTTATTAATAAAGTTGATCTGAGCAAGAATAATACAAGTTCATTAAGTTTATTTTTATTTTCATTAAAGTAATATCCTTCAACTCTAAGCTAATTTTCAATACTAAAGATTAAATTAAAGCTAACAGATGTTATAAAACTTTCATACTCAAATAATGGTCTTGGATAATTTAGATAAATAATTTTAAAGAAAATCAACTGAGCCTACTCTTCAACATTTAATGCTAATAGGTATATTCTTATAACTATTTTATCACAAAATTCAGGCACACTTCATAATATTAGTATAATAATTCTACACTATTGATGATTTACAAGAAAGTACAAAAGTAAGGTTTTATAATAAAATAAACTTTATAATCAGTCTATGAATATTACTAAATATTTTGAAATGATATTCATTTGGTAATATTATCATTTTGAAAGAGATATAAATTTAATATAACAGTAAAAAATCAGCATTTACTTCTGATATTCTATAAAATGTGAAATATGAAATTATAAACTTTGAGAATTGTTACTATTTTTATAGTCCAAAGCAAAGTGGAGGACTCATATTTCTATGCACTTTGATGATTGAAATTATGATTTTAATGCATCTGTAATAAAAATATCAAAAATGTATTTTTATTTGTAATGTCTTAGAAAATTTTGATCTGCATATATATAACCAGATTTTTCAAGGTTGGGTTCCAAACTTATATCAGTTTATGGTTCTTAGTAATAGATTCATTTAGTTATATTTATAATTAATTAAAAAAAGAACCTATATAAACCTTTGATAAAAGCTTAAAAATATAAATAAAATAATTTCAGAATTTATTATTTCTGACAAAATAATTTTTTATGTACTCTTGTATTTCAAAATTAATTAATCAAAAAAATGAATATTTAATATATGAAAAATAAATTTTTTCTTTCTTTTTGCTAATATTTTAATATTGACCAAATAATGTTTCTAATATAACTAAATCAAATATTCCTATTAATAGTAAAAAAAACAAAAAAAAACTTAATAAAAGGACACAAATTGCTTATTAAACAATCCTGCTTTACAACTCTATATTTATTAATTTACTTGTTTTTACTATTAGAGAGCATCCATAAATAACATTATATACCCCCATAGACTATATAAAAAATTTTAAAAATCTGTATATTTATATATATATTTTTACAAGATTTTAATTATCTTGTGACCTAGTAATTCAAATTAGATAAATTTAGTACCATTAGATTCATCTCAATGAACGGAATCTAATAATACCAAAATTATTCAATTTAGTTCACTTGATCAAAGATATGAGCAAAAAACTGTTAATTATATAATAATTTCATATATAATAATATAGCTAATAGTTTTTTGCTAATAACTTTTGATCCAATGATTCAAATCAAATAAGTTTGGACCATAGGATTCCTCTCAGTAAGACAAATCCAATGGTACCAAATTCATTCAATTTGGACCACTGGGCATGAGATATTCATATTTTTATAAAAAAATTGTTATTTTCTTTTAACTCTCTTCTACTTTAGCAAAAAATGTAACAAAATGTTATTTTTATAAAACCTCCTTCCCTCTCTTGTATAACATTATTTATGGATGTCCTCTTATCAGCATAGTGGGCTTTATTATAATTAGATAATTTTTAAAGATGATCTTATCATAATAAAGCTTTATTAAAGTAATGATTTTCTGTTACAAAATTGAATTCTGAGCCACGAATATGTATTTCTAGATGTAAGACAAAAAATTAGAGTTCGAATCTTATTTTATAAACTGTCAAAATAATTCAGTTATCTGTAAAATAATTCAGAGGTTAAATGAGATTGAATGTTCAAGTTCAACTTATAGATACAATAAATCAATTAAAGTTAGCAAATTAAGCTATTTTTTAAGTATTTTGTGAAAACTTGTTCTTCGTAATTTCAACTAATAAAAAATCTGATTATAATATATAAGCTAAGAATATGAAGTTGAAAGCCATAAGTTTATAGATTTCATAAGAAAAGTTTGAGCAAAGTACATAGTAGTATCATAATTGGTATAATAATTATTAAATAAAAATTAGAAATCAGTTTGATATTAAAACGAATACTAAATATTGTTTTTGATTATTGTTTATTAGCTATTAGTGTTCTAGAATAGGTACAAACATTTATTTTCTTATACTTTTTATTTTTAGTTTGTTTTTGTTTGTTTTTAGTTTATTTTTTTCATTTTTGATTTGTAATACATTAGGACCATATTAGACTAATTTTTTAATAAAATTTTAATTTGTCTGTGACAAGATTGTAATTTTACATTAATATTTCATAGTAAAGACTTTTGCTAGCATTAATTTTAATATAGATGTAGTTATTTTTATATATATCAGTTCTTTTGCTCATAACAGTTAGTTAATTTTAGAATTTTAATTAATTTCGATTAATTCATGATCTGCCAGTAAACCAGTAAAAAAGCATAGTAAACTTTGGGATATGTTTACTATATAATTTTATCTTTTTGAAATCTGAAGTTTTCTAAAGAAAAACCTCTTTTCAATGGCTAAGTAAAGTTGTAGATAAGTGTCTTGCAATCAGAATAGCAGTTAAAACATTAAAATTAGCCATTTTAGTCTTCACGACTATATGTTTTCTTCTTTATTTATATAAAGAAGAAAACATATAGTTGCGAAGACTAAAATATTTATATTTTGCAATCCACTAGGCTGATTTTAATAGTTTAATTGCTATTCTGATTGCAGGATACTTCTCTACAACTTTACTTAGCTGTTAAAAAGAGGTTTACTTAGTATAGAAAAAAACTTTTTCTTTAAGAACTC